CGAAGCGTTGGCGATTAAGGGCTTGCAAACAGTGACGGCGGCCCAGCTTCGTTTCGGCCGACGCCTGGTGCCCCTTCACCACGCAAGCGCTTGTGGCAGAAGCAATCCCATCCTGTCATGATCGCCTGCCTCCCTTCGCCTGCCTGGCGGCCGTGATCCGCCCCCTTGCCCGGCTGCGGGCGTGCCCACCCGGATACAGGCCGTGCCAGAGGGCGCTGACGAGCTGCGTGGCCACCAGCGTGAAGAAGGTGGGCTTGCCGTTGGGCGGCGTGAGGCGCTCGTACACATATCTGAGGCGGCGCAAGTGTGAGGGTTGCGGAATAAGCATGGGACGAGGGAAGGGCCAGCGGGCAGTGACAGCAGGGTCGCCTCTTTCCTGCCGTCAAAAATTGGAAGGTGCAACCGACGCAAGCGAAGCAGCCCAAAGCGTGTTGGGCGGCTGGAGCCGCCAACCCTGTTGCACCGAGGGCCCAGGGCGCACCTGCGCAGGAACATGCCGGTGGAGATGTTCCAGTGCGCTGCCAGCACGCGCCCGCTGTCGCAAAACTCCACCTGTACGTGCGCATGCCGTGCACGTGGGCGTGCAAATGTGTGTGAATGTGTGCGTATGTCTGCATGGTTGTGTGTGTGCACCGCACGCCTGTAGGTGAGCATCAGCGCGTCGTGGCTTGCCATGAGTGCTGTGCGCTGCGGCGCAGCTCATTTCGTACTTGACCCCTGCGCACCCACCTTGAGCGGCCGGCTGTTGCAGCCGCGCCCCCAGACCGCCCTGCCCTTGTCATCCCACTGCAGGAAGTCGAAGCCTGCGAAGGCCAGGCTGGCCCAGCCGTTGGACCAGGCAAAATAGTAGCGGCTGCGGTAGATGGTGCCCACGATCTGGCGGAAGATGTGGTGGAGCGGGGTGAGGTGGCGCGCATGTGGCACCATCAGCAGGCGGCCTGCAGAGCAGCATGAGTCGAGTAACGACACATGCGCAGACAAGAAGGAATATGTGCGAGTGCAAGGGCGCGTGCGCACGCGCGCGCATACACACACACACACACACACACACACACACAAACAAACACACAAACACACACATGCACATTCACACACTCATGCACATGCACTTTCATGCGTGTGCGCGCTCGTGCATGTCCGCATGCAAGCACACGCATGCACACACGCGTGCATGTACACTCTCTCTCTCTCTCTCTCTCTCTCTCTCTCTCTCTCTCTCTCTCTCGCGCGCGCGCGCGCTCTCTCTCTCTCTCTCTCTCTCTCTCTCGCGCTCTCTCTTTCTCTCGCTCTCTCCCTCTCTCTCTCGCGCGCGCGGCCGTGCCCCACCTGCATGATGCACAGCCGCAGGAACAGTGGCTGGCCGTGGTACCAATCTGTGAAGAACACGTGGTAGCCCCACGTCTTCTCCTGGGTGATGTACAGCGCCGCGGCCAGCAGCGCGGTGACGGTCGCACGCACGCCCTGTGGTTGGGGACAGGGACGGCCGGGTAGGAGCGGGGTAGGGCATGGCAGGGCAGAAGGGGGCAGTGTGGGCAGTTGATTTATGATGGAGCCGCAAGCCCCTCTTTCCATTGGCCTGTCAGAAAGTGGGGCACATGTAATTTGCCCGGCTGCCCTGCGTCGGGTGGATGGACTCTGGTACCGTAGGCCATTCCCGCCGGCTTCACCCCGAGTGCGCGGCCCTGGCAAGGCGGCGCCGCAGGGCGCACCTGCAGGAAGCAGCCGGACACTGGGACCTTCTTCGGCGCTCGTGGGTCCCACAACCCGGTGTGGTTGATGAAATCCTGGGTAGCAGAGGCAAAGCAGGGCATGTGATGCTGCAGCATGGCTGGCGGACACTTGCATCATGCGCACCACGCATGCCTCAGACACCTCCATCAGCAAAGAGCCACGAGTGAACCCCTTGCCCGCCGCATCCTGCCGCCTCTCGCTGACACCTCAGCGGCTGTCTCTTGACAATTGGAACCCCAACAAGGTGTGGGGCCTGAAAGTCCAAGCATAACCGACAGCACTCATGCTGGTACAAGCAAGGGGCAGCAGCTGCAGAAGCGGCAACGGCAGCAGCAGCCGCAGCAGCCCAGCAACCCCCCCACACACAGGGCCTACCTGGTAGTCCTTGAATTCGATGATGGGCCCTGCCAGCAGGTTGCCAAAGCAGAACACGTAACCAAAGAACTCAAGAAGGGACGGCAGCTTCTTGAGGTGGTGCGACTTCTGGTAATCGCTCATCGCCTGAGCGGGCAGAGGTGGGTCGTATGGGCGAGGGGCGGTCGCGCCATCACACGTCGCGTCGTACATGTCGTGTGTGTGTGTGTGTGTGTGTGTGTGTGTGTGTGTGTGAGTGTGTGAGTGTGTCACCCACGTCGCAGGAGCGCTGATGTGGACGTGCAGCGACCCGGCAAAATAAGACCAGCTTGCCGCACCCTCCCCATGCATGATCTCACCACATGCTCGCCAATCACTCCCGCCCCTTGGTGCCCACAGCACAACCCGCGCTGTCCCCGTCCCCACCTCCAATTTCTTCTCTTTGCTGTCCTGCAGGCACATGGCCGTGCTGATGAGCTTCAGCGTCAGCACCATCTGCGCCCCCGTCGGGTCCAGCACGCCCTTGTTCCAGCTCACGCCGCTCGCGTTGATGGTGTGCCTGAGGGGAGGGTGGTAGCGATGGGCCTGATAGCAAGGCAAGGGCCGCGGCCGCAGAGGCCCTCAAGGGCTGCGGCGAGCGGCTTGGTGTGCTTGACAAGGCTGCTTTGACCGGTCGGTCAGCACCATAGCACCTGCGGGCAGCTGTGGTCCCTGCATTGAACCGCACTGCCAGGCGGATGATGCTCCAGTGCTGGATGCCAGGTGGATCGCTGACTTTCCGGCCGCTGCTGGCTCTGCGCAGCCAGCACCTGCCACTGCTACGGCACGCCTATGCCGTCGTGTACGAGTTCTGCGCCTTGCTGCCATTGTTCGCTCCGCCGCCGTGCCAAGCGAGGCCTGGGCACACTCACAGCATGAGCAGGTAGGGGAAATTGATGAGCCATGCCCACGTCCCGCATTTCTTCGGTATCAGCCACATGACAATGTAGGTGACCCATGAAGTGAGCACCACGTGCACGATGCCGCTGCCGAAGGGGTAGTACAGCAGCAGCAGGCCAACCGCCAGGGAGTACAGGTTGCGCGCTGCAGGATGAGGTGGTAGGGGAAGGGGGGGGGGGCGCGTGCTGTCTGGTGCATGCACTAGGAGCAACCTGCACGCCCGAGGGGCGGCCAGCGCAGCTTCCTTGCCAGTTGAAAACGTGTGCGCTTCATGGGGAGCACTCGCGCAAGTCGTTCTGATACCCAGCACTGTGTACAGACAGCAGCCTGTACAAACGCACAGGCGACATCACTTTCCCGCTGACCGCATCATGCGCAGCCGCTGCCATGGACATTTCAAAAAAACCAGTGCGTATGTCACATGCGATACGACCTGCAACCCTTGCACACCCACCTGTGGGGCTGCGCAGCCCACGAATGAGGATGCCGGCTACGATGCATGCCAGAAAGGAGACTGCAAAGCGCACTTGATCCAGTGTCAGTGCGGTGACCTGCTGCGCCTGCACCTCCCAATCCATCACTGCTATCAAGTTATGCCGGTGCTGTAAAAGGAACCTCATTTTGCCTGGTACAGTTGCTCTGCCAACTGGCTGCAGATCAGGGGAAGTGCCCGCCGAAGGCTTGGTTCACCCGTGCGGTGCCAGCAGCGCCCAGGTGATCGCGGCCCTGGAAGGGCCCAGCTTTTGCGCGCAAGCTGGTGTGTGTGCACCGTTCAGTTGAGTTGGCGCTGCGTTGCACCGAACGCAACGCGCTGCAAGCAGTTCCCGTAAACGTGATACATCTACGAGAGCGATACAACCGCGAATACAAACATGGACAGCGATCCAAGCAGGCGCTCTGCACGTCGGGCGGCGGCGGCAGCTGCTACCGCATCGCTCAGATGCGCACCGGCGCGCCACGGCTCCTCTGTAGTGATTGTCAGGTGCCAAGCTCTTCTTTCCAGTGCACATGCATGCGTTGCGTGGGCAGCAGAGCAGTTAGGCTCCTCGCAAATGAGCAGCATGGTGGTGATGTCATCGGAAGTCAGGCAGCAGTGCTGACACGCCCCGCACACCAGCGCACCAGCATACAAGATGGCTTGTTCTCGTTGAAGCCAGCCGTTCCCATCGCAGCCATCTTCTGCTTCACTGGCACTGTGAAGGTCAACGCTGATGCGCGTGACAGGTAGTACAGCCATTTGCCCGGCGCACTACCATCCGTTTCCGCGAGATACATGCTAGCATCATAGAAATGATATCATTCATGTTGCCTAGTGGCGCTGGCATACCAGAGCAAAGATGTAGGATGCTGTTGAGTACGGTAGTTGCCCTTCACTGCAAGCGGCCACAGTCACGCGTAGTGCCGTACCAGCTGGCTGGTGCCTCGTATGTCTCAGTGTGCGTGCTGATGTGCACGGCGAGTGCTTCTTCCAAGATGTGACTGTACTTGCACTGTTATTGTATTATTTCAACATAATGTCCCCGATTGTGGCGCTCATGCCCGTCCCCAGGAAGGCCCAGGAACATCCGCACCTGCATTCATCTGTAAGTTTTCACCCGCCATTGAGAGCGGCTCTACGGCACACAGCACTGCTGTCCAGGAGTAACCATAGGCATCCTGTTTACAAAGTTTGATATCCTGTGTGCCTGAGTGGCACAATGTATAAGGCACTGCAAGTTGTGGCTCATGGTCACTCCGCTGCCAGTGCAGTGCAACGATCTGCGCATTATCACATAGCATCATTACCATATTATGAAGGAATACAAGCTGAGCCCCATTATTTGTTACACCTTCTCCGATATTCTCTGACAAGCAAGCACGGGGCTGACCACCCAAGTCCTGCAAACCGCCTCCAAGCGTCATGCCAAAGCAACGAACCCCTGCACCGGCTGCAGCTTCTGGGTGGCCTTGCAGCTGCTGGCAGCGGAAAATGTCATGGGATTGTAATGTGTTGGCTCCATTCTGAGGTTCTGCTCTGCACGGTGCTGCATCTCCAACAGCATGCGTGGGCCAGGAGCTGTTCAAGTGCCCGTGTTTGACCCTCAAAGCTTCAACGCACAATGCAAGCCTCCTGCACCTGACTTGCCTTTGCGCACCACTCCGCTCCAACAAATCCAAGAGCATACGTGGGATGCTTCAAACGCCTCAGTGACGACTGGTGAGTCACGTTAGTACAGTAAGGCGCGCCACTGACCGCTGACAGCGCTGACCTGGCGCAGACGCAATACAACAACATTTTCAACCTGTTTTTGATTGCCACACGCAAGTAAGCGCCCTGCAACCCGTTGTGCTGCACAGTGTGGAACCCAGCATGATGCAGAAAGCACACGTGATCTAAGGTCACCATGTACATGGCCGCAGAGTGATAATTGCATATCAAGTATGGAAGATACATGGACGGGAAAACGCGGCAGGGACGCGGCGGATCTGGCGATGTCCCTGCAGACAAAGCGGGCCTTCCTGGGGGATGTCAACCCCGGGAGGGAGTACAAAGAGCCTCGCATATATCAGGAGCCGCGGCATGAGGAGCCTTCCAGTGCCGGAGAGGTGAGGGCCTGAGCAAGTTTGCGCGCATGCGCCGCCGCTTGCTGATGCAGTCTGTGCTCGCTTCATGGTGCAGCTGCATGTCCATCGTCCTGCCCCGTACAATGTGCAGGTCACCAACTTTACGGCTTGGACTGCAGAACAGATAAAGGTAAAACACCTGGTCCCCTGGCGCTTGGACGTTGCACACAATCTGGATTTTGCCGCCCTCCTGTGGGAACGGGAATCCTGTACTGTATGGGTGGTGGTGCAACGCATTGGATCCGCCCGCACCCACACAGTACCATCTGCTGCTGCCCCATAGGCGTTCCTGGATGCGCGCGGCGGCGACCATGACGACTGCGCCACCCTCCAGCAGCTGGTGGGCTCCTGGCAACCGGCAGGGCCTGTCGCTGCCACGCCTGGATGCTCCATGCAGTATCTAAAAGTGCTGCCAAACCTGACTGATTGAGCGAGCTCGCTCGGCATGCATAAATATTCAGCTGCTGCGGCTGGCGAGCGGCCGCCAGGGCGGATGGCGGCCCCTCTGCTACCTCCCTGCAAACCAGTTGCTGCTGGCTTGTGCTGCCCCCTGCAGGTCGACAGGGCCATTGAGACAGAGGCCAACACAGGGCCAGCGCAGCCGGCAGAGACGTACGGGCCCGGCGGCAGCTGCAGCGGCGGCGGCGGCGGCGGCAGCGCTGCGGCAGCGGGGCCCTCGGCTGCACGTGATGCGGGCGGGGGAGCAGCGGCAGAGGTGAGGCCTGAATCGTTGCACTTGCAAACGCCACCCATCTTCCTGGCGTGAATGTGCGCGTGCGTGCGCGCGCGTGCGCGCGCACACACACACACACACACACACACATCACAGCAGGCGTGTGCACCTGCGTGCCCACACACGCACGCACGCAGACATGCACACACGACCTCACAGACAACACGTGCACGCACGCTCTCAACACATTGAGGTTATAATACCCACCCACCCTCTCCCGTCTCAGGACGATGACTACGACCCCCTGGAGGCCTTCATGTCAGAGATCCATGAGGAGGTGGCGGCCAACAAGCCAGCGCCCCCGGGGGCGCGCCCAGATGCGGCGCTGGCGTGCGACGACGAGGCGGACCCTGCCGCAGAATACATGGCGGTGGGTGGCCTGGAATTTTTGGGGAGCTTGTGAAGGGAATGGTGCGGATTGGATGACGGGTTGGCAGGGAGGCAGGCAAGTTGGCAGGGTTTGCCCAAGCTTCTGTTTTTGGCAGCAGATTTCGGGTGCTTGGAAGCGTAAGCGAGGGTAAACGACGCACAGCGGTTCCGCAAGGTGCAGGCTTACGCCCCCTTTGGCCCTTGATGGCTTCCGAACCGCCCAAAGCAAAGGCGCGACCTGGCAATCCCATTTGCCAGGTGCGCCAAGCGGCGGGCGGCCTCAGCGCCGCGCAGGCCATCGCGGCCGACGTGGCGGCGGCCGGGTACGACTCAGACGAGGAGGTGTATGCCACCGCCAAGGCGCTCCAGGACCAGGGGGGCGGTGGCGGCGACGACGAGGTGCGGCCCTGTGACGCTGGCATTGGCGCAGGGATTTGAAAGGAGCGTCGCAGCATGCAGCGCCATCAAAGCGGGGCGCGAGGCAGCGGCGCCAGGCGCATTCCCATGCAGGTCGCGTTGCATCTGATGGGGGCTCTAGTCTGGGGTGGTCATTTGTTTCAGCAGCAGCCGGGACCTCAGCGCTTCGCCCTGCTCATCCTGTCCCCGCTTGCACCCACAGGCCGACGGCCGAAAGCGCACGATTGACCCGCTGGCGCCGGTCGACCACTCGGCTGTGGAGTATGATGAGTTCGGAAAGGACTTTTACACGGAGGCACCCGCCATAGCCGCCATGGGCGACGCGCAGGTGCGGGCAGCGCGTGGCCGCGCGCCGCTGCGGGGTGCCTTTGACGTGGGGGCGGCGCACGAATGGCTGCACGCGGCGGCCTCTTCAGCGTTGCGGGGGCGCGGGCGCAAGGTGCTTGGCCGCTCGCGTGGCACCCGCACTCTTTGGGCACCAGCTCTCCGTGCACCAGCGCATGCGGCAGGGCAGGCGTGTCGACCGGGCAGGGCCTGTCGCTTTGCCGCCAAAACCAAACACGATCACGCAAGTTGCGCGTTTTCGCACGGACACACACACACCTGCATGCACGCACGCTTTTGGGCGCGCGCGCGTACACACGCACGCA